CTGGATAGGAAGACTCAACATCGTGAAAATGTCAATACTACCCAAAGCAATTTACACATATAATGTGTAAATTATATGTGTAATCTAGATTCCAACAACATTCTTCAAAGAGATGGAAAAGACAACTACAAACTTTATATGGAAAGGAAGGAGATCCAGGATAAGCAAAGCACTGCTCAAGAAGAAGAAAAAGGTTGGAAGCCTCTTACTCCCTGACTTCAAAGTTACATGGCTACAGTGGTCAAAACAGCTTGGTACTGGTACAATGAAAGATATATTGATCAATGGAACAGAATCGAGAATCCAGAAATTAACCCATTCACATACAGTCAACTCATTTTTGACAAAGTTCCTAAATATATCACATGGGGAAGGGATAGTCTCTTCAACAGATGATGCTGGCAGAACTGGAAAGCAATATGCAAAAAGTGAAACAAGACTTTTACTTCACACCTTATACAAAAACCAACTCAGCATAGATTAAAATCCTAAATATGAATCCCAAAATGATGAAGGCCATCAGTGAAAAAATAGGAACAAATGAGGACACTAATTCATGGGAATATGCAGACTACCAAACATTTTGAAAACTACACAAACAAAAGTAGACAAAATAGATGAGTGAGACATACTAAAAATTAAAAAAAAAAACTTATGTGCTTCAAAAGACTTCACCAGAAGAGTAAACAGGGAATCCACAGCATGGGAAAAAATGTTTTGAAATGACACATTAGACAAGGGACTCATTTCTAAAATACATAGGAAACTACAACACTTATAGACAACAGACAAATACCCTAATTAAAAAACAGACACAGGATATGAATAAGACACTTCACCAAGGAGTAGTTCCGGGCAGCCAACAAATACATGAAGCAACTTTCACGATCACTAGTCACTGTTGTAGTTATGTGCCGTGGAGTCGGTTCCGAATCATAGCAACCCTATACAGGGTTTCCGAGGCTGTAAATCTTTATGGGAGCAGAAAGCCTCATCTTTCTCCCACGGAGTAGCTGGTAGTTTTGAACTGCCGACCTTGTGGTTCGCAGCCTGATTCATAACCACTATGCTACCAGAGCTCCTAGCAATTAGAGAGATACAAATCAAAACAATGATGAGATATCATCTCATACCAGCAATAACAGCAAAGATAAAAAAAGTAGAGGACAATAAATGCTGGCGAGGATGTGGAGAGACGGGGACACTCCGGCATTGCTGGTGGGATTGCAAAATGATTCAGCTTCACTGGAGAGCAATATGGCATTTCCCAGAAGGTTGGAAACAGAAATACTTTATGATCCAGCAATTCCTCTACTTAGTATTTACCCACAAGAAATACAAGTGGATATATGCACACCAACGTTCATAGCAGCACTATTTACAACAGCAAAAAGATTGAGACCAACAGCAAAAAGATTGAGACAGCCAAGTGCCTATCAATGGAAGAATGGATTAAAAAACTGTGGTTACATACTTACAACAGAATATTATGCTACCTTGAAGAATAACAAGGAAGCTGTAAGTTATCACATAACATGGATGAACCTTGAGAACATTATGCTGAGTGAAATTAATCGCAAAAGAAGAAACACTGCATAGGACCACTATTCTAAAAGACTAAGAAAAAGAACCTATACTAAAGAGGGGAGGGGGATTCATTGCTCCTTACTGGGATGTTGGGGCTGGGCTGAAGGGAGGGAGGGGTTGGTAGAGCACAGCGCAGGAAATAGACACAGGAAGGTTGGGTGCTAGGGAGGGGGGCAATACATAATTCCTATTAATAGTACATCCTTGCTTTTTATTATAAATGCATCATATAAAACTGCTATTTCACTCAGCACCCATTTGCATTGTTTTTTCCCTCTTTTATAAAGTATCACAAAAGAAATGAAGAGTTTAGTATTAGGGAAAAGTTTGTCTTTCAAGAAAAACTGAATACTTCCTGTTATTTCACAAAGACAGTTATAAGTCAGTTACATGCTCCTTTTTCCTGCAATTGTCAAACTCATTGTTAAGTTTTGCTTTCAATCGTTGTTACTTTCTTTAATTTCGTTTTCATGGCATTCTCTGTCCTAATACCTACGGCCATCATTTTTTGACTCCTGTTTGATTCCCACTTAGTGGTAATGTTATATGTCTTTTATCATAAATCTCTTCAAATCCTTAGAAACCAGTAAACATGAACATTAAAAGGGTTAATAAAATAAGTATTAGCAAATAAGGAAAGAATGTTGACAGAAAGTTTCATAAGCATACCTTTGAAGATTTCTTTTTTCCCTTACAGTGTTTTGGATTTGAAACCGAAGACACTAAAATTCTATTGATTTCGAGTCCAGTTTGAAGCTGTAATGGTAGAGGAAAAAAACCTTGTAAAATATTGATTTATAACATGCTTCTCAAAAATACAGAAATGTAAAATGAGATTCTCAATAAATTCTCAATAAATCAGATTCTCAAAAATAAATAAAAACGTTTCTTGAAGAAGAAAACCCAAAAAGCTATTTGTGTGTGTGTGTGTGAAAGTAATTAGTCTCTTGGTAACTAGAACCGTTTTTTATTATGATAATGTATTTAATAAGAAAGGAGCTTTGGTAGCGTAGTGGTTACAAGTCAGTCTGCTAAACTCAAGGTCAGCAGTTTGAAACTATCAGCTGTTCCGTGGGAGAAAACACGGCTTTCTACTTCCGTAGAAATATACAGCCTTGGAAACCCTATGCAGAATAGCTATGAGTTGGAACCAACTCCATGGCACACAACCAACCAACCAATGATTAATAATATTATCTGTGAATCAAACTGAAAACAGAAAACTATCTATCCCAGGAGTTCCTTAAACTGAGAATATATGTACTCATCAGAAATTTTAAGAAAACAACTAACAAAAAACCCTCTTGGTGCTGCATCCAAATATATGAATACAATGCCTGGCTGATTGAGAATCTCATTATTATAGCAAGAAGGGATAAAAACTAACGTTCTAAAATGCAAAAATTAGCCTAGAATATGTTGTTAAGTGCTGTCGAGTCAGTTCTGAGTCATAGTAACCCTGTATAGGGTTTCCAAAGAACAGCTGGTAAATTTGAACCACCAACCTTGCGGTCCAGTGCATTATCTTACAGTGCCACACCATGCCAGGACTTCAGCCTAGAATATAGGTATCAGTTAATGAAAAGTATAATAAAGCAAAGGAGTCCTGGTAGTGTAGTGGATTACATTACATGTTGGGCTGCAAACCACAGGATCAGCAGTTCGAATCCACAGGCACTCAGCCCAAGGAAGATGAGGCTTCTTTGCTCCTGTAAAGTTTGTTGTTGTTAAATGTTGTTGAGTTGGTTCTGACTCATAGTGACCCTGTATAGAGTTTCCAAGGAGTAGTTGGTGGGTTTGAACTGCCGACCTTGTGGTTAGAAGTCCAGTGCTGATCCTCAAAAACCCTATACAGTGTCACTATGTGTCAGAACCAACTTGACAGCACACCACCCCCCACCATAACAGAGCATGTGTATCTTACTGTGATGAGTTACGTGCACTCTATTTACCTCAGAAGCTTTGTCCTGAAACAGCTTACGTTGATGTTCTTCTTCCTTAAGTTTTTCCTCTAAATACCTAATCTTATCCTGCAAAAGAATAAAAAAGTAGGGTGGTTATATAAAAACTAGAGCCAAATATCCTTTGCTTCCTTTCCAAATACAGTCATAATAGGTCTTGATTCTTAAGAGTTTGGCAAGTTAAAGCAGAGTGTTAAGAAAAAGGAATTGCAAAAAAAAGGCCAAGATTTTTCTTGGCTTTCTTCCTATGATTCTTTACCTGCTATTACATGTGAGAACAAAGGAAAAGCAAAGAACACATATATTGTCTATTATATGCGATTTTTTCCTGTAGTTGTCAAACTCATCACTAAGTTTTATATTCAACACATACATTCATGCTGATGTTGAGTGCCATCAAGTCGGTTCCAACTCATATTGATCCTGGATACGGTTTCCAAGGAGTAGTTGGTGGGCCTAAAGCACCACACCAGGAATCCAATACACTCACAGATAAAACTTCAGGAGGTATTAAAGAAGGCATCTTAGAAATATAAGGGTTCTTATACTGTACTTAGGTAAACAAGAATAACTTGCATGAAACAATAAAACAAAGCAGAGTATATGATTTGACCCAGACCATGTATACACTCAGATGGCTTTAAATACAAAAATATCACATCTTCTTCTCACGGTGACTCAGAATGGGGCAGTACTAGTTTAAAGTGAGCTTCCTGGGTATTGGGGAACTCAAAGAAGGCAAAGAGAAAACAGGACTTGGAGAAGAAAGCTCTATGAAATGGGTAAGTTTTGCACAGGAAAATTAGGGCATCTGGAAGGAATATGTTGTTAGGTGCCATTCAGTCAGTATAGAGTCATAGTGACCTTATGCACACAGAACGAAACACTGCCCAATCCTAGGCCAACCTCACTATTGTTGCCACGTTTGAGCCCACCGATGTTGCAACTTGGCCAATTCATTTCGCTGGGGGTCTTCCTCTTTCTCTCTGACCCTCCACCCTACCAAATATGATATCCTTATCCAGTGACTGGTCCCTCCTGACAATAAGTCCTAAGTTTGAGAGATGAAGTTAGGCCATCTTGGCCTCCAAGGAGCACTCTGGCTGCATTTCTTCCAAGACAGATTTGTTGGTTCTATGGGCAGTCCATGGCACTTTCAATATTCTCCTCCAATACCATAACAAATGCATCAATTCTTCTACTATCTTCCTTACTTAGTGTCCAATTTTCACATGCATATGAGGTTACTGAAAATACCATGGCTTGGGTGAGGAACACCTTAGTCCTCAAGCTAACATCTTTGCTTTTCAAAACTTTAAAAAGGTCTTGTGCAGCAGATTTGCCTAATGCAACAATGCCATTTGATTTCTTGACTGCTGCTTCCATGTGTGTTGATAGTTGATTCAAGAAGAATGAAGTACTTGACAACGTCAATCTTTTGTCTGTTGATAAGAATGTTGTTTATTGGTCCAGTGATGAGGATTTTTATTATCTTTACATTGAGATGCAATCCATACCGAAGGCTGTGGTCTTTGATCTTCATCAGTAAATATTTAAAGTCCTCTTCACTTTCAGCAAGAAAAGTTGTATCATATGCATGTCGCAGGTTGTTAATGAGTCTTCTTCCAATCCTGATACCACATTTATCTTCATATAACCCAGCATCTTGCATTATTTGCTCAGCATACAGGTTGAATAAGTATGCTGAAAGAATACAATCCTGTCATGCACCTTTCTTAATTTTAAACCATTCAGTGTTTCAAAGATCATCTTGAGAAGATAAAGCCAAATACTACAACAAAATGTGCAAAGATCTGGAATCAGAAAACCAAAAAGGAAGAACACGCTCAGCATTTCTCAAGCTGGGGAAACTGAAGAAAAAAGTCAAGTCTCAACTTTTGTTATTGAAAGATTCTCTGGGCAAATTACTGAATGATGCAGAAAGCATCAAAAGAAGATGGAAGGAGTATACAGAGTCACTGTACCAAAAGGAAATGTCTGATGTTCAACCATTTCAAGAGGTAGCATATGATCAAGAGCCAATGATACTGAAGGAAGAAATCCAAGGTGCATTGAAGGAACTGGCAAAGAACAAAGCACTAGGAATTGATGGAATAAAAATTGAAATATTTCAAGAAAGTGAGGCAGCACAGGAGGCACTCACTCATCTATACCAAGAAATTTAGAAGACAACTATCTGGCCGACTGACTGGAAGAGATCCGTATTTGTGCCCATTCCAAAGACAGGTGATCCAATGGAATGCGGAAATCAATGGACAATCTCTGATACCCCATGCGAGTAAAGTTTTACTGAAGGTAATACAGAAATGGCTGCAAGCATACACTGACAGAGAACTTCCAGATGTTCAAGCCGGATTCAGAAGAGGCCGTGGAATGAGGGATATCATTGCTGATGTCCGATGGATCTTGGCTGAAAGCAGAGAATATCAGAAAGATGTTTATCTGTGCTTTACTGACTACGCAAAGGCTTTTGATTGTGTGGATCATGACAAGCTATGACAATATTGTGAAGTGTGAGTATCCCGGAACACTTAATTTTGTTCATGAGGAAGGGATCTAGGATAGGCTTAATTTATCTGCAAGTGGATAAAGACAATCTTAAGTAAATTATCTGACATGAAAATATTCTGCCATCTTAGAAATTAAAGTAACAGTATCACATTCAAAAGGCAAGCATGTTCATGCTGTGACAGACACATTAGCTTTCCATCTTAACAGGCAGGAATTCACAACTGAAATACTGGAAGTGAAGCTTTGTAAGTCTAATATAAAATGTACTGTGGATTCACAGGCAATGCCAATTGTGTTTAATACCATCAGATTTTTCCTGGCATCATCACTTCAAAGACACAAGCAGAGGCTTACTTCAGCTGATTTCTGAGTTGCTGTAAGTCTAAAACATTCTTTTTCTAAGACATCAAGCTTTGCAAGTTTTGCATGCAGCTTCATCTGGTCTTGCTCTTTTTCCCTTTGAAGCTGAGCCTGGAAAGGATAAAAACAAAACTTGAGTTTGTCAAATGATGCCAATGGTTCAAGAATAATACAATTTCTGAGAACCCACAAGAAACATGTATATTCATGTATGAGAGGGGTTCAAAAAGCTCATGGAAAATTCCCGTTATATTTTAATTCCACTTTTCCTGAGAACTTTTGAAGCCTCCTTTTTTGCTTACAAGCAAAAAACCAGATTACTTTATATAAGAGCAAATATAGTAGAAAATAAAAAATGTGCTAAATTATCATCAGTGGCATTTCTTATGTAACATTTTTACTAAGGGCAAGCAGCACCAGCAAAACTTACATTAAATACAGTAAATAGTTATTCACAATGTAACCAGAACTACTCACAGAAAATCATCTATGAGAGGATTAAGCCATAAAAGGCAGAGAAAAAGAAAGTGGCATGTCGAGGCTGCATAACGAGGGCAGGAAATCCCTCTCCTTGCATCAGAGATTTGGAATCTGAGGGTCACTTGGAAGCTCTTGGGTGCAATGAGTGATGCAGCCCCTGACAGTCCTTCATCCACTTGAGAAAGCTCCTCTCCTGCTAAAGTGTATGTTTGAGAAGAGGTCAGATTTGATCATGTACAATGGCCTGGAAGTGTCTTAGTTTCTCCCCAGCCCACAATAACTAGTCTCTTCAGAAGCAGCTACTGTCACTAGTGCCTTCTGTATTATTTCAGAGCTAGTCTATGCATTTATCAGTTCTCCAATCTATCTATAAATGACAGCATATCTTACATGTTTTCTTTTACTGAATACTATGTATTGGAAATCATTCAATAGAGCAGCCTCATCCTTGATAAAATATTTTGATACATGCAAAATTAGATATGTATAAATTATGAAAGATAATGCTACAAATCAACTACTCAATTTAAAAACTGTAACATCAACAGTACCATTTATTTACAGGGTTGCTATGAGTCAGAACCGACTTGATGGCACTTAACAACTCCCTAACTGATTTGGAAGAAAGATGAGGCTCTTTTGCTCCCGCCAAGATTTAAAACCTTGGAAACCCTATACAGGGTCGCTGAGTTGGAACCAACTCTATAGCACTTAACTCTCTAACTGAAGGTCCATTTCTTCTTCCTCAGAAATAACTACAGCCATGAAAGTTATACTAAACATGCCCTTGCTTTTTGTTGTTGTTAAATGCCATCTAGTTGGTTCCCACTCATAGAGACCCTTGTATAGGGCTTCTGAGGAGCAGCTGGTGAGTTTGAACTGCTGACCTTATGGTTTGCAGTACAGTGCTGATCCTACAGTGCCATACCAGGAGTTCTAACTAACACATGTTGTTGTTCTTAAGTGCCATCAAGTCAGTTACAACTCAGAGCGGTCTTGTTCTGGGTTTGAACCACTGACTGGATTTGAACCACTGACCCTGCCATTCAAACAGACCCTGAGGTCCAGTGCATTATCCTGCAGTGCTACACCAGGACTTCAACCAACATATACAAATCCTTATATTTAGGTGTTGTTAATTATGTAAGGTTTTGTATGGGGTTTTTTTTTGTTGCTTTATTGTGAATTATGTGATAGTTTACATGGGAGATCATTAGCTACACACTGATCCCATCGTATATCATTTCCTTGCCCCTCCATGGTTACAATCCCCTCCATGGATCATCCACCAACCAAAGGGTATACCCTACAACCAAAGGGTATCCCTGGTCGTCAGCACACAGCCGCTCTCCTTCTCTGGGTCCAAAGTCCCCAGCCACTCCATCTCTCTATGTCATTGTCTCTATCTCCATCTTTGGCATCACTCCTTCTCTGGGTAGGGTTCTGTTCTCCAGGCTTCTCCCTTGATGGTCCCAGGGACTGACGTTCCTAGACTGAAAAGTCAATCACTCCCCTCCTTGCTATAAAACATCCACCTTTACATTTCCAACCCTCACAGTCAGTCCTGATAACAATTATTCACTATTGCATCACAAGAGACCCATCTGTATTTTGTTTCATCAACCCTTCCTGGACTTACAAGCTTTCTATGGTGGTATTTCTGGCTATTCCTTTCTCTACCCCTCCAGTGTCTATTTTATAGTGGTATGCCAGGGAAACCAAGATTCAAAAGACAGTCAAGCATCTTAACATTGTTCCCCCCTTTTCCCCATTCCAACCATGTCTCAATCTCTGTATCCCAGAGCCCTGTTTTTCCAAGATTGTACATACATCATTATTTGCCTCTGTCCCTCTTCAGCTTCAGATTCATCCTTTCGTATTTAATTTCATTGCAATGATTACAATCTCCTCCAAACATCATCAAATAACCAAAGGATACACCCCACAGGCCCACTCCCACTGGCTGTCCGAAAACAGCTCTTCTCCCTCCTTGAGTCCCATGTCCCCAGCCACTCCATCTGTCTATGCCACCATCTCTGTCTCCACGCCTGGCCTCAGTGCCTCTCTGGGTAGGGTCATACTTTCCGTTCTTCTCGCTTATGTCCCAGGGACCTCCACTCATGGGCTGCAAAATCAATCAATCTCCTTTTGCCAAAAAAAAAAAAAAAAATCTGCCTCTACATTTCTGACCCTCATAATCAGTTCTGATGGCAGGTATTCACTGTTTTACCACAAGAGTTTTATGCCCATTTCCTTTTGCCGGCCCGGTCCCAACAGATTGGAAATCATTCAGTAGAGGTTCTGCCTTCC